CCCGCCACCCGCCACCAACCACCAACCACCAACCACCAACTACCAACCACCAACCACCAACCACCAACCACCAACCACCAACCGCCAACCGCCAAACACCAACAACCAACAACCAACAACCAACAACCAACAACCAACAACAACCAACAACCAACAACCAACAACCAACAACAACAACACCAGCAACAACAACAACCAACAACAACCAACAACAACCAACAACAACCAACAACAACCAACAGCAACCAACAGCAACCAAAAACAACCAAAAACAAGGCTTCGCCGCGCGAACCGGCGTTGAGGTTTTTGGCACGTTGAGGTTTTTGGCACGTTCTGAAAGAATGTGTAAGTGCAAAAAACATCAAGGCAGATTCAAGCGGCGGCCTAGAAACAAACCCTCCCCAGCACTGAGGGCGGCGCTTTTGTTCATGCTTTCTAAGGGTTTAAAGATGGCAACGCAGCCCACAGATCCTTGCCTGCGTTCATGCGCCATTGCCATGAAAAAACGTATTCATGAAGAGCTGGATTCACCAGCTTGCTTCCCACATGTTTTGCCTGAACTTCTCGCGGCAAGTATTCTTTTAATCGACGCCAGCATGAGTCCAGAGCCTGCGTTCCAGCGACTTTTGTGCGGCCTCCCGTGCAGAAATGGCAGCTGAACTCCATAAGGCAATGTCGAACCTGGAAGAACTCAAGACCTGCGTCTTCACATGCACTGCGCCAGCTGCGAGCACCATCCCCGTAGACAGTGGCCCCTGGCCTGACTTTGGAAATCAAGTCAGAAGACATCACATCTAAACTGCTTTCGGTAGGTGGCCTTGCCGATGGCTTCAACAACACGTATGGCAAAGGTGACATCAGAATCTAGCTATAGCAACCCACGGAGTGCCACCGCGGCTGAGGCTTGTCAATGCGGACCACATGATGTCCATTGGTTCTGCTTCTGGGTTCTGCATCTTCAAGCATAGCTCAGCCCGCAAGCGATCTTGGAAGGTTGGCCCTGCTGCGCTGGAAGAAGCAAAGTCATGCATTGTAGCTTGCTTCCTTCGCCTGTCTTCCCAGCGTCTGTTCGCCCGAAACTCTTCTAGATCAGCCCGAGCCACCGGATACCAATAGCTCCTGTTGGCAGACAGCGCCAGCGCAGCATCGATCTTGCTCTGCCACGTGTGTGCTAGATCAAAGCGACCCACTTCTTGCCAGTGCTGTGCTTCCGCGCGGGCAAGCTTGACAAGCGCCTGCTCTGCGCGAGCTCTCATCCCACGCAGAGTGCGGGCTGCACTGCTGAAGCCTGCTGCTTCAATGACACGAGCACACCATGTTGCACAGTGTGGCCAATCATTGGGCATGATGAGATATGGCCCAGGTCGAAGGTGCAAGCTCCTATTGTGAGCCATTGCTGGCAGCTCCTCACAGCCCAGTTCCACAGCAATGCGTGCGGCCACAGCGCCCGCAGCAAAAGGCACCACTGGCTGCACTGGTTGCTCTGGGGCCACGCTGCCAGCTCGTGAAGACGATGGCTCATGCGGAAGCCTCAAATGCCAATTTCGGGAGATTTAAAGCACATAAAAACCAAAAACAAAAAAACAAAACAAAACAAAACCTGGGTTTTCAAACTAGCTGCCAATAGTTTCCCAGAAACGGTGTTCCTGGCGATCTCAAATCAATCGGTGAAAGCATCTGCAGGCTCATGGCATCTGATCGAACGGACAACGGAGACTCGGCCGCAGTTTTGCGGCGCTTCTGCGGCGTGCATGGCACTTCCATGGAAAACCTGGAAAATTCGACAGCCTGCTTAAGACTCTGAGCCCGGATCAAAGCAGTGAACGCTTACCAGACATGGATGCTTACCAGACATGGATGCTTATCAGCCCCCCCCCCCGAACCCCCCCCCCCAACCCCCCCCCCACGCTGAAATGCAAGGAAAAACCAAGTGATTCATGCAAAAGTGTCAAAAACGGCTCAAAACTCCAGCGCCGGTTCCAACGGCGTACGCAAAAACAACCAACAACCAACAACCAACAATCAACAACCAACAATCAACAACCAACAACCAACAACCAACAACCAACAACCAACAACCACAACAACCAACAGCCGCAACAACTAACAGCCAACAGACAACAAACAACAAACAACAAACAACACACAAGAAACAAGAAACAAGAAACAAGAAACAAGAAACAACAAACAACAAACAACAAACAACAAACAACAAACAACAACCAACAAACAACAAACAACAAACAACAACCAACAAGCAACAAGCAACAAGCAACAAGCAACACGCAACAAGCAACAAGCAACAATCAACAATCAACAAACAATCAAACAACCAAAAGCCAACAAACAACAACCAACAAACAACAAGCAACAAACAAACAACACACAACAAACAACCAACAACAAGCAACAACCAACAACCAACCAACAAACGACAAACAACAAACAACGAAACAACAACAAACAACCAACAACAAACAACCAACAACCAAAAACCCAC